AGTACTCGGGAAGAATTCTTACAGTGTGATTATGGAAACAACCCATTTCCATAAGTGAAAATGAGTATGCTTATTAATGGAGTCGCAATTGCCTATTGCATTCAATCACGTTTATAACTAGCGAGAAGAATGGTTGTTTTGCATGATTTAGTGTTTACACAATTATAGTCGCACAGCAAGGCTTGCTGTACTAGAGGCTTTGGAAAGAAGCATATGTGGTCCTTTTGCAGGTAATAAAATGGAAAATCCAATTTGCAATTGCAGAATAAGCTTCTGAGTGATATATGATCTTCATAGCAGCATCGGTCAGAGGGTCATCGCTAATCACGGTGCTGCCTGGCTTCCCCAGTGGCCTGCGCCTGCCGACTAAGGAGTGAGCAAAGTGAATCTGTGTCTGGGAGCCAGCCAGCGTGTCTGTAGATGCACCACTTTCTAGCTTATTAGATCCTCTTTGTCACAGTGCTTAATCCTGCTGCCTGATCCTTGTTAGAACACCACCAGAGCGCCGCTCAGCCTTCTAATAAAGGGACTGGGTGAGGGCTCCTAACTCAACGCACTGAAGCGTGGGGCGTCAGGGCGATTGCAGGCTGACTGACAGCGGGGTGAGATGCTTCCTGCATGTTATTACTTAAAAGGGAACCTACCTCCGACAGCTGACAGACGAGCTCTGCTGAGGCAATGGTAACCTGTTGCTAGGCCAATATGAAATGGGTGTCATTTTTTCACACAGCATAATGGCCAGCTTTACTCTAATTATATTAACCCTCTTCTGAAATTGCTGCCTTCCTGGCTGGTGCAGAGTGAGACAAGAAGACCCAGAGACAAATAGCTTGCTGGGAGGATTACAACTCTACGGAAACAGGTAGTGTGTTATCCACTGGTGACATTAAGTTGAAAAGCAAAATAAGCATGTCCTGTTACACAAAGCCCCTGTTATAACTCTCAAGAGATGTAGCTCTCTTTGGCTCGTGGGGTTTCCATCTCTGTCATCCGTAATAGTTTCCTCCTTTAAGGTTGGCCATGGACATTAAACATGGTTTTCATAGTTCTTTGTTAAAAAGAAAGAACGGTATCAAACAAGAAGCTATTTTCCTTCTTTCTTTCTTTTTTTTTTCCCCCAGTGAACCCGAATCATTCTTTTCTATTAGACTCTCTCGTTCCGGTAGCTCTATGAAGCACCGGTGAATTTGATTAAGTAGCAATGTTTGATACTAAAATAAACATGCGGATGGAGGAGAGTAACCCAGTCCCCCCTGCCCACCCCAGCTAGAATGTGCAGATGGATTGAAAGTGATGTAAATGAAGATGCTCGTGAATAGCCCATGGTCCTTTCTGTTTACCCGACTTTCAGACATCCATGTAAGACTCCTTTTCCCTGAAGGGAGTATGTCTAGCTCTCATCCAGTGTCTCCTATGTGCTCCAGTTAGCAGACGTCATTAGCAATCCCCGATGCCTCTTCTGTCTCCACTGACAGAACCTAAATAGAGACATCACTTGGGATTGACAGATCTCCAGGGGGTTGGAGGCTTCAGACAAAAGGGCCCAGAGAACACGGCTGACCTTTCTTGGCATTATTCCCCTAGGTCTATTTTCCATGAGTGCCAATCAGGGAGGATAGCACTTTAGTACATTATTTTCAGAGGATTACCACTGAAACAACTGCAAGCTTAGTAAGACGCTGTTAATAAGTTAACAAGAGGCTGTGTACATCCCAGAGCAGGTGTGTAGTTTGTCAGGAGTAGAATACAGACTCTTCTTCCCCATGGAAGTATGCGTTTTTACCTTAAGTTCAAGGTCTGTGAAAACTGGCTTTGCTCATGACATACCTGTTCTTTGGATTATTGGGGCAAGCCTTGGGATTTGGCAGAAAGGAGCTTGTGGTACAGCTCAAGAAAAGAGAACTTTTCCTCCTCACTGTCCCGTGTAAGTTGTCTCAGAGCAAATTTGGAATAGCTGAGACTGGTCTGTGGCGTCCTTCACAGAGCCTTTCCCTGGTCCATGTTGCTCTCATGCTTACCAAGGGCCCTGAAGATCCAGTATGGTGAGGAACGCCCTGTGTGCCAAACATAGCTGCCTTCCTTCCTTTTCCCACTCTTCTCCCCAGAGTAAAACAAGTCATATTCCCATGATCCCCATCTGAACCAGATGTTAAAAGGAAAGCAATCTAGTTGAGTTCCTTTTGTGGGGTGAATGACGGCAAATTCTGGATGCTTCTTCAACAGAATAAAATCCCACCAATTAGAAATTCAGACTATTTTTCTTGGTACGGTATCCAATTTTGAAGGATGAGGAAGAAAGATATTTAGGGCAGAAAAGCCAAGAATACTGGAGATCAGCTTTGTTTAGGTAGGGATGAGTTTATTTCCTGAGTCCATAAATATGCAACTTATGCTTTTCGTGGTTTCTTATTTCTCATCCACTTGGGAATATATCGATATCTCCAAAGGCCTATGTTTTTTTTTAAATAGTTGATTCCATGCTGATGTTAGTGGACAGGGCTAGAGGCAGGAAGCTGACAAGATGTAAGCACAGGTTGATTCTTAAATGAATGTCTTAAGAGAGGCGTGCTTGCCTGCAACACTCCATCCCCAGCTCATGAGTGAATTGCTGTATCATGGTTCCTCTTGCCTCATATGTAACCCCTTCCCTCAGTGGCCGTGCTTCCTAAGAACAGTGGACAACATACCACCATGCATATAAAATATGACAAGTGAGAAATACAGTCTTGTTTTTAAATGGTTGACTTCTTTCCAGAAACATCTAGTATTCTCATTTTTAGGAAAAGGGGAAATTGGAGAACAAGGACAAATGAGGGAGTGATATGGGGGAGAGGACATTGAGTGCAGCCAACTAGATCTTAAGAGGAATGAAGACTGAGAGAGAATTGTAAACAAGAGGTCAGTTTCACTTATGACCAATGGCAGACCCTTACCAACAAGATCAAACTCAGGTGAGATACTCAACAAAGCAGAATATGTCCATCTCTTGGGTTCTCATTTGCCTGAGACAGCTTTCTTACTCATGGTTTAGGGAATCAAGCTCATTAATTTCCCAAGTGACTTAATATCTGACTAACAATGTTTAACCATTAAGATGAGGAAATTGACAATATTGATAATCTTGGAGAGAAACAGATCTGCTTATTTTTTGTGCTTACCACCAACAAATTCTTAGTAGCTTTGGAAAGATCATGATGAATTATTCTCTCTTAATATTTAGTGATATCTGTTTTCTTTAAAAAGATTTTGGGACATTGTAATCATTTTTCTTGTCTTCATTTTTTTCTGAATAATTAGTTACAAGTCCATATAATAAAAAGGGAAAGATTCAGAGTCTCTGTTATTTTGTTTTAATAAATATTACATCATCTTCTTAGTAAAATTTTTCATTTTTTCTTTCATTCCAAGGCTCAGATCAGCTAAGAAATTATTTGTTTTGTGGTATACTTGCATCCCAGAATGTTTTTTATTATCCTGAGTTATATTTTTTTTAAAAAGCAGAAGAACCTTAGAACAGGACAAACAAGTAACTTTGGTTGTGTCTTTGGTAGAATAATTTCTGGGTGTTTATGTGCAAAAAGCCTTGGGATGGGGACCAGAAGTCTGGAAGTGTATTTCCTCTGTCAGACTTTCAGGGAAAGGCCTTCATATCCATCTCTGCTGCTTAATTCTCTGTCCCTGTCTGTCACTTTCATAGCAAGCGTGTTGTTGGAAGTTCTTTCGCACATTGCCTTTTTCATTTTTAAATGTGCCAAAAAAAAAAAAAAATAGAGTCAATGGATCATCAACAGATGACATCCTAAAGAGGCAAGTGTTTGCTGCTTTTTTTATGCTACTTTCATTATCTCATCCTTATTGATCTAGATTGACATGTAACTTGATAGCTTCACCAGACACTAGAAAGAGTGTGAGATTTGAGGCCACTTTCAGATCTTCACGCTGGCATTTCCTGATCCTGGACACATTAGTTTGATTCCCCAAGTTTCTATTTCTTTATCTATAAAGTGATATTAATAGCTGACCTTAGGGATTGCTGGAGAATTAAGTGAGGAAATGTTTTTAGAAGGTAATTTGTCAACTGATTAGAGCTAAACAAATGCTATTCTCTATCATTACCATGTTAATGAGATTCACTTAGTGCTGATTCTGAGATGTGCTTATGTTACTTGAATAATACTATAATCATTTGACTTGGGTAATAGTCCTGTCTTTCTTCATTCATATTTTACTTTGGTTGATGAAAAAGTGATGTTGATCAGATTGGGCTTAGGTCAGATAGGAGGAAGAGTGATACACGTTGACACGGCCAAGATAGAATTTCAGGGGGATTTCACATTATCACTTCTCTTCATATTGAATAAGTCATTTTGTCTCTATAGCAAATACCTAGAAAAGTAAAGATGTGCTACATTGGCAGGAATTCTTTCCAGATTTCCTTCCTTTTCTTCCTTCCCTCCACTTCCTCTCTCTACTCTTCTTTTCTTCCTACTTTATTCCTCTTTTTATTTTTTTAAGTTGGAGTCTCACTTCTTTGTCCAGGCTGGAGTGCAGTGGCACGCACGCTCACGGCCACTCCAGCATCGACCTTCTCGGCTCCAACAATCCTTCCACCTCAACCTTGTGAGTAGCTGGAACTACAGATGCGCGCTATCACGCCCAGGTGTTTTTTATTTTATTGTAGAGACGAGGTCTCACCAAGTTGCCTGGGCTGGTCTCAAACTCGTGGGCTCAGGCAATCCACTCGCCTCCGCCTCCCAAAGTGTTGGGATTACAGGCTGAACCACTGAGCCCAGCCCCTCTGTTTTTAAATTCCTAGCCAATATACTTTCTTTCACCCTGCTTGTATGCTAGAACCTGCTGGAGGTAAGACTTTTTTTTAAAAAATCAAATGACCCAAAAGGTACTTAAGGTTGTGCTATGGTGACTGAGCAAGACTTCTTAGACCTGATCTATCTTGGATGAAATGACTTTCACCTTTTTTTTTCCATTCATCTTTTCAGGAAACTTGGATTTAACTGGTCAGAAGCAGGTGTTCAAAGCAGAGAACAATCCCTGGGTTACCCCCATTGCTGACCAGTTCCAGCTTGGAGTGTCCCATGTTTTTGAATATATTCGTTCTGAGACATACAAATAGTAAGTAGATTCTGGTTTTCTTCAATTGGAGACTGTGTATTGTATTTATAATAATGCTTTTTAAAAAATTATCATGTGACAGTATCCTGTTGATGACAGCTAACATAGCATTTTTAAGTGTTTTATTAAAAAGTCACATGTGGTAATTATCCCTATCATTTGTAGATTATTTTTAGTTGACATTTCCAAGGGAATTTTTACCAATTCTGTTTAGAGAGTTTTTGAGGTATTAAATTAGTTGAATATTCATGGCACTAAGGAAATTCAACAGACATATTAAGATCAGAACATATTTTTTTTCTTCTGTAAATGCAAAGAATTACAAGTGTTCTGAACAAAAGTGTTAAGCAGTTTATTTATAAAATCAGCGGAGTACTAGGAAACCATCATTCTATTATTTAGAAGATTTTACTCTAGTGAGATGATGATCTCTGTAAGAGAAAAGAAAAAGACAAAAGATGGGGAAGAATCTGCCAGTTTAAAGTCACAGATTCAAAATACTTCCAGTCCTCACCTCAGGTTAAGGGGCCTGTGGGAAACCATCCCTAAATCCTGTATTCATCACCACATCTTTCTTCCTCAGTGTTTCAGGATTGGGAGAAATTCTACCACCTCTTCCTGCTTCTGTTATATCTTCTGTCATTATTTTCCCACCTTATTCAAACTCTCCAGCCCCAAAATGAACTGTCAGTTATCTCAATGCCCAACTGACCCCTAATGCCAAAATCTAGTGTAGTTGTTTGAAGCATCTACAAAAAAACTTGAAAATACCCATAGTCAGATATTATCTGTTTTTGTGTCTGGCACAAACTTTTGGGAATTTAACATTGGAGGATAGTTAGAGGTACATTAAGTTAAGACGTCCTTCCTTCTTCCTTCCTTCCCTCGAAAAAATGCCCCCACTCAACACAGTCCTCACTTAATTTGTGCTGGGCCAGTCAGTCCAGACTGACAGGATAGAGCCTCTGCCTGGAAGTGGTCAGCTACTGGTTCTGTAGCCTTCCTGCCTGAGCGCCACATCTGGGGCTTGCTGTGTTCATGTTTCCATCTGACAGAATCATAGACAAGATGAACTGTGAAGAACACTGACCTTAAAACTAAATATGGCCGGGCTCGATGGCTCAGCCTGTAATCCTGCACCTTGGGAGGCCGAGGTGAGTGAATTGCCTGAGCCCGCGGGTTCGAGACCCGCCTGGGCAACTTGGCGAGACTTCATCTCTACAATAAATAAAAAATTAGCCGGGTGTGGTAGCGCGTGCCTGTAGTTTCAGCTACTTGGAAGGCTGAGCGGAAGGATCACCGGAGCCCAGCAGGTCAAGGCTGCGATGGCCGGGAGCGGCCACTGTACTCCAGTCTGGGTGACAGAGTGAGACTCCAACTCAAAACAAAAAACAAAAAAAGCTAAACACAAGGGAGATCCGAATAAACCTGGGATTTATATATTAAAAACAGCATATCTATTCTTTCATATTTAAACTTCACTTACTTTTAAAGTATTCTTTGTTTGATGCAATACACCTATTGAACTGCTTTTTCCACTGCTTAAAACAGTTTCGTGAATTTTGATGCCTTTTAGTGCTTCTGCCATTTTTTGTTTCACCTCTTCCACACTGACGAAATGTTTTCCTTTGAGGACTTTTACATCTGTGAAAATTGACAAAAAACAGTCGCTTAGGATGAGATCAGGTGAATAGGAAGGATGTGACACGGGTATGCTGTTTTTGGTCAAAAACTGCTGAACACTCAGTGTGGTATGGGTAAGTTGTGAATCCTCCATCATGAAATGGGCAAACACATTGAAAGAATCTCCAAAAACAACAAAGAAAATTTACTGAAGCTAAACACAGCCTCTCACAACAATGTGAGCTGGTACGGTGATGCAGATGGGTTCCTAGAACAGTTACCTAGCGGGGGAAGTCTGTACTACAAAGAGCCCACTTTCCAGAAAATAATTCCGTTTTGGGGGTGGGGGGGATCTGCCACCCCATATGCTAAAATTCCCCAAATGATACCATATCCTCACATATAAAAAAAAAAATCAGATTAAAGCATGGTTTAGATTTTTTTACACAATACCTTGACATTTACAACATAAGTCTTAAGACTTACCTTAAGAGTAAAATTAGATAAATATAGGAGATATGTAATTATTTCATAAGCCATATAGATATGCGTAATTATTACAGATTCAACCATTTTAAAAAAGAAGAAAAGACTTTATCTCACCCTTGGAAAGTCATTAATTATGAAAATGTGTGAAAATACAATTGCAAATTAGCAGAATAATATTTGTCTTGTTCTTAAATTGTTAATCATTGCTATCATGAGTTTTAAATAGGGTTATAATTTTTTGTTAGTAAATTGGGAGCTATTTCAAGCTTGGTTTGCAGGGTATCTTTGAAAAATTATTCTGTATTTGATAGTATACAGAAAAATACACAAACAACCTCTTAGCCTTCCACAATTGGAGGAAATTTTCTGCTTATTGTTCTGATTAGCAATATTATAATTTACTATTGATGAAATGTATAGTTTACAGAGGATTAGAATACATTGCATATGAAAGTGCTTCTAATTTTAATTTCATTTTAAAAGATTAAATTTTGAGTTTATGGATTGTATATTACCTTAAAGTCATTATTAGGCAATTAATCACCATTATATACTATTTCAAACTATTTCTATTTATTTGAACATGGTTAAGATTCTGGATGAAGGAGAGGTTTGGTGCTTTAGTTGAGTTAACGGGTAGGTTATTTCAAAGAGAATACATGACTCAGCACTTCAATGAGTAGCATACTTGATGCATATGTTTCTGTCTTCATTATTGGCATCTGTTTTGGGGAATTGGAATCATCTAAGCAATTTATTTGCTAGCTTACTTTTTTGTTTGATTTCCTCATGGAGCACTGGATTATCCTTTATACAGTGAAATCAATATTAATAAGCTTAAGTGAGAATAGGAGAGCCATTGTTCCCTTTCTAGGGGGACCAGCTGTTTCTGCAGTAATGACTTTTAGAGGTGTCAACATGACACCTGTAAAAGAAACACTTGGCCTTGGTTCCTTCAGAGTCTTGAGTTCTTGTCCTCTTTTCTCCTTCCTGGGAGGAAGAGTGTTGACAGCTTCCTATAGTTCACTTTTTCTATCCTTTGGTCATTCTCCCATAGCAGCTATCTTCACTCCTTTATCAAACAAGTAAGCCCAAACATGGACTATTAGCTAAATAAGATACTAAGTCAAACGCTTAGTCTTTAAAAACAACAACAACAACGGACAAAAATGCTGCCATTGTGTTTCACCAGATTCATACACACTGATTTTTTTTTTTAAATGTAAGATCCTTCTTTATATGAGTAGTTCTAGTATGTATTATTATATCATCATGTAATTGGAGCTCAATTCAATTATTTGTTTTAAACAACCGTTTCATAATTGGAGGATTTTCAGTATTCTAACTCTCTGAAAATATATTATTAAAATTAGCAGGCACTTGACCTTTTATTAAAGCTTGACCTTTTATTACATGTGGCAACCTTCAGGGAGGACAGTTTACTCAAGACACTCATATTTTTATTTTTTAAAAAAGTAAATTTTGGGCTTGGCTCAGTGGCTCAACCTATAATCCCAGCACTTAGGGACGCCGAGGCAAGTGGATTGCCTGAGTCCACGGGTTCGAGACCAGCCCAGGCAGCTTGGCAAGACCTTGACTCTACAATAAATAAAAAATTAGCCAGGCATGGTAGCACACACCTATAGTTCTGGCTACTTGGAAGGCTGAGGCGAAAGGATTGCCATAGCCCAGCAGCTTGATGCTGGGTAGCCATGACTGTGCCACTGCACTCCAGCCTGGGCGGCCGAGTGAGATTCCAATTCAAAAAAAAAGGTAAATTTTGGTAGGGTGTGGGTATGATGGCTCATACCTATAATACCAGGATTTGGGAGTCTAACATGGGAGCATCATTTGGGCCTAGGAATTTTAAACCAACTTGGGCAACATAGCAAGATCTCATCTCTACAAAACATACAAAAATGAGCTAGGTATGGTGGTGTGTACCTGTAATCTCATCTACTCTTCTGAGGCAGAAGGGTTTCTTGAACCCAGGAAGCCCATTCTGCAGTGAACCATGATCGTGCTACTACACTCCAGCCTGCGCGACTAAGTGAGACTCTGTTTCAAAAAATTAAATTAAGTTAAATTAAAATTTTAAAAATCAATTTTCACATTCAGTACCTTAGTTTTGGGTCTTCTAGTCTAAAACCTGTAGCTCTTAATGTCTCATCTTTGAGTCTTCTTGTTTAAGCCACATAAATCCCCTTCAATTAAAAAAAATCCTGATATATTTGTGTGTGTGTGTGTGTGTGTGTGTGTGTGTGTGTATGTGTGTATCTTTAAACTACCATGAAATCACAATTTTGTTTTGACACTTAAAAGTACCAGTGAACCTCCATCCCTTTTTTCCTTTTTTTCTCCTTTTGCCTAACCATTTAACTCATTACCTAAATGAGAGCAGTAAAGAACTAAATAACTTACTGGAGTGTTTTCTCTCCATTCACGTCCATGGCCAACTTTCACAGTGACCTTTGTGTTCTAAGCACATCCTTGAGGCCTTCTGAATTTAGAGCAGAAAAGATGGATTATCTGGTTTATAGGCTCTGATGGACTCCAAGAGGAGACATGGACGCTTGCAACAAAACAGCGAATTCAGTGTTTAGGAAGAATTATAATATTTTGAGATGGCTTCACTTGATGAAGATAGGAACTTGTGCAGTTAAGTAAGAGGAGGGGGAGGTAGGAGTGGCCAGGAGGATGAGGTATAGTCCTTCAGAGACTGCCCGTTGGAGTACATTTCGGTCCTTGATCATGTCTGCCTCATCATTTCTCAGGTGGAGACTGCTCTTTGTTCAGCTGTCATGCTTTGCACAAGGGGAACGCACTGACTGGTGCCATTGCCTTGCCGGTCACAAGCTATTCCCTCTGTTAAAGTAAAATGATATGCT